CCTGATCTCTTTTTTTTTTTTCATTTTCTTTTATTATTCATATGTGCATACAGGATTGGTTTCATTTCTCCTCCTGCCCCCAACCCCTCCTTGTACCACCCACTCCGCCCCCTCCCTCTCCCCCCACCCTCAATACCCAGCAGAAACTATTTTTGGCCCTTATCTCTAATTTTGTTGTAGAAGAGTATAAGCAATAATAGGAAGGAACAAGGGTTTTTGCTGGTTGAAGATAAGGATAGCTATACAGGGCATTGACTCACATTGATTTCCTGTGCGTGGTGTTACCTTCTAGGTTAATTGCTTTTTGATCTAACCTTTCTCTAGTACCTGTTCCCCTTTTCCTATTGCCTCAGTTGCTTTAAGTATCTGCTTTAGTTTCTCTGCGTTAAGGCAACAAATGCTAGCTAGTTTTTTAGTGTCTTACCTATTCCTCACCCCTCCCTTGTGTGCTCTCGCTTTTATCATGTTGCTCATAGTCCAATCCCTTGTGTTATGCCCTTGATCTAATGTCCACATATGAGGGAGAACATACGATTTTTGGTCTCTTGGCCAGGCTAACCTCACTCAGAATGATGTTCTACAATTCCATCCATTACCAGCGAATGATAACATTTCGTTCTTCTTCATGGCTGCATAAAATTCCATTTGTATAGATAAGCACATTTTCTTAACCCATTCGTCAGTGCTGGGGCATCTTGGCTGTTTCCATAACTTGGCTATTGTGAATAGTGCCGCAATAAATATGGATGTTCTGCCTGATCTCTGCCTCTCAGGTAGCTAGGCTTGATCCACAGTGTCAGGCCTTGATTGTGACATGGTTTTTAACATGCATTCATCATTGCATATTTATAGGCAGAGAGGGGAAGTAAGAAGGAGCTTGAGAAAGGATGGTGAATTACTCAGTACTATCTTTGGATTCTAGCTACGTGAAGACTTATCTTCTCTATAAAGTCACGCCAAGGAAAAAGAAAAACCAGCATCAAACGGGACACAATCAATCCACTATATGATGAGATCCTCAAAGTGAGTCTAGACCTTGAGGGGAGAAGAACTTGTTCTGTCTTGTGCCCCAAGCTGCACCTATGCCTCTTTAGCATAGCTGTGTCAACATGGTTTTCAGGAGATCCATTGTCTTGTGTGAGACTCACTATTGGCATTTGTCCACATCTTGACCTCCTAGAGATAGGAAAAGGTGATTTGGCTTCCTTGGATTGTTGTGAAATTAGAGATTCACATGGCCACAAATCTCATTTTAAAAAGTCTTTGGCAATTATTATGGATGTTCCAGGGCCCTCTCACCCACTCAAGAAAAAATTAATCCATTTTCTAAGTTTGCCCTTGGACCATGGTAGATTTTTGTGAAATGGGGTAAATTGAAGGTTTGAGTGAGGAAACTCAAAGTACTTAAGAATTAAAATAATTTTATATCAAGACTATAGACTTTGGATATAAGTTGCTAAAGGTTTGGAAGAATCTTTTTAGAGAAATTACCACTAACTGATCATCTTGGGCTTCTATCTTTTCCTTCACAGATGAATCCCAGATCTCTCCTGGCCCAGAGGACCTTGCAGTTTTCAGTTTGGCATCATGGTCGTTTTGGCAGAAACACTTTCCTTGGAGAGGCAGAAGTCCAGATGGATTCCTGGAAGCTTGAAAAGAAAAAGGATCATTGCCTCCCTTTACATGGAAAGGTAGTCTTCTTTAACAGCTCCTTCCACTGCTTAGAACTGAAGTCAATTTTCTGGTCTGTGCAGAGCAGCTTTGAATGTAGTCTTGTGTAGAGTTCTAGCACACCCTGCTGGCGTTTCTGAGTTTGACAGCAATTTCAGAGCTGTATTTCAAGTGTACATAATCTCGCCTGTGTAAAAGTAGGCAAAGTATGAAGCCACGGTGTTGCTTTGAAACTCTTTCCTATGTGTATAAGATTTGCTTCTTAACCTTCCAGAGTCTGTGTGTAGATATTGTAACTTGTACCTCTTCTCCAAGCTAACCTTCTGGGTGTATACTAAACTGTATTCCTTTTCCAAGCTAACCTTCTTGCTAAAGAACTAGGAAGCAAAGCAATTCATAGAGCTTCAATAGCTGTACTCTTAGTTACTTATCCAGGTCATGGGAATTTTTGGAGATGGTATCCTCAGATAAGAGTGTAGCAGTATGGCATAATTGTGCCTGGCATCTCAGTGCATACCTGGATTGGAATCTTGGTTTTGTTACTTAGGGAAATTACCTAACTTCTGTGAGCCTTAGTTTTCTTTATATAGAAAATGGACGTATAAATAATATTCCTCTTTGCAGAATTATATGTAAAGAACCAGTAAGTGTCCGATACACAATGAATATTCAGTGGGTTGTTGTCATTATGGTTGACATGAAATTGCTGAAACTGAAGACTTAGTCAGCAACTTCTTCTTTATCAGAACTAAAGGAGGGCAAAGTTTTAAGAAAATTTTATACTAGCACTTAAATGTTTAGACAATACATGGTGCAAAGAATATTTTTGGAAAGATAGACAGGAAACTTATAATGGTGGCTGCCTCTAGGAAGGGAGCCTGAGGTAGAAAGAAGATTTAGTTTTCTCTATATACCCTTTTTAAAACTTTGAACTTTTTACCATATTAAGAAAATTAAGCATAAAAGGATTTATATTCATATTGTTCCAAATTAAAACAACATAAAAAGAAAGTAGGTTTCATTCCTTAGAAATAACCACTATTCACAATTTCTAGAAGTTTTGTAGTAAGCAGCACAGATATACATATATGTATTTATATGTTCTTTTTTATGCAGTTAAGTTCATATGAACCTTGTATATGTGTATATGTATATATATTGAATTTTCATTTAACAACTTTTCATGGTCATCTTTCTGTGCCATCACATCTCATTTTAATAGTGTTCTGTTATGTGCCTATATTATAATTTATTTACTATTTCCCCACTAATAGGCACTTTAAATTGTTTACTTTGTTTTTAAAACTATGCAGTAATATATCTTGGTGTTTTTTATGGTTCTGGGTATTGATCCCAGAGCCTTACACAGGCTAGGCAAGTGCTCTACCATTGAGCCATACCTGCAGTCCCTATCTTGGCCTACTTTGGGGGATATAAAGTCAGAGAACTTCGTAGTGGTGGAATTGATGAGTCAAAAGAAATGTATATTGAATAATTTTATAGCTGTGGCCTTCCAAAAAAGTGATGCATTAAATTTGTCCTTTTAAATGTTACTAAAAACATGAAAGCAATTAGTATAAAACTATGTTACTAAAATTGAAATTTTCTTAAGCATTCAGCCTGTAAGTCATTCTCTCAGTGGCTTAAATTTTATGTAATTATATTGGAAGTGTCACTGTAAGCCACCATGAACTACTGCCAATAAAAATATTTTACATAAGTCATAAGAACTGCATTAAAATGGAGATATCTGCTCTTTGCAAATATTTTGAGCCAAAATGAAAATGTGCTGCTGAAACAAATATGCCAGTTTATAGCTAATACTAAGTTTTAGTTTTTAAGAGTACACTAAAGTTAAATCTAGAAATTAATAAATTGTGTAGACATTTTGTAAATAACAAAAGGACCATTTCCATATTACTATATCTCTTTTAACTGGAAACATTCTACATTTGTTGTTTCTGAGATTTCATTTTGCCCCATGCTCCCATTTAGTTTTCTGTTGCTGGCATTCCAATTCTTTTCTCTCCCCTAGCTATTAAACTTTGTTATTCTGGGTGTGTGGCAAATTGATCAAAGCCTGTGGAGATTATGCTTCTTGGCATCCGTATGATCACTGGAGAGGACCTAGCTTAGAGAAGACCCAAAAATACTGGCAGTGAAAGAAACACCTCTAGTCTGCACAGTTTATGCTGTGAAACGCAAAGCAGATAGCCAAAAGAGTGAAGCAGTTCTGC